CTTTATTCTACAAACCACAACAGTGGGTTTCCCTGGGATGTGTGAAAGAATGTTCAAAAGCAGCAAAACCCTTCAGAAAGTGACAGGTTTGGGGTATGTTTTAGGTTACTGTTTGCATTGTCTGCTGCTGCAAGGAAAACCAAGCAAGCACTATCATTGCTTGGGGCACTCTGCTGATTTTGGAATTCCCAGGGAGTTATCTGAGGCATCTCCTGGATCTTTTCTGCTGACCTTTCCAAGTGTCAGAACACTTTGCAGAGCAGTGGGTCAGTGTATGGCCTGAAACAGACCTGTCGTAGATACAGGATGATCAAAAGGTGCTTCAAGCACTCACGGTGTTGCCATTTTAACTGCTGGGAGGTTCTGCTTTATACTGAGATTTATTCAAACTCCTGCCTTTCTTCATTCAACTCATTAAAGTAGTTAAAAGTGAATTGTAAATACAGTAAATATCAGAAGCCTAAAATGAGAAATATTCCATATATTTTAGTTTTTTGTCAACCCAAAGAACAATAAAAGAGGCTTTTGAATACATAAGCATCTTTAATACCTATTTTGCATGAGTTGCCTCTGTCTCTTTTACATAAATAGTATCTATATTTTGCATATATATATATGTATGTCAAATGGCATAATGAGACAAAAGATACCTATTTTTTCCTGTGTAACTTTGAAGGATGATTTTTATCCTTTTATCCATCCCAATGGATACAAGGCACTGGCTAAATGCAGCAAATGTGTGCTGAAACCTTTTCTAAATTCCTGTTCATGGCTGGAAAAGAAATGATTGATGCAGATTGCTGTGAGTTTCTCATTAAAATCTCTTGAAGATAAAGAGATTAATTTTACATCATTCTTCACTTGATTGTTGTGTAAGCAGGTGTTTTGTTGCGTTTATTCCAGATTTGTCCTAGGTGTTATACTTGATTTTCCCAGGAGATATCCTGGAGCAGGTTGCATTGTAGAAGTACTGAATATGTACAAGAAGCAGACTTTTTTTTTTCCTGTACAACCATTCTCCTACAATTTGGAGTAATTCTGTTTTACCATTTGACATAATTAATTTTGCTTCCATTTGCTGTGTTTTGGATTATTCAGTCAACTCCTTCTACAGTAGGTGGTAATTCTGACTCTTGTGCACTGAACAGTACAATGCCCATAACACTGCTAAGCAACACTTTTTACCCATATGCATAAAGCCTCTGACAAAAGTGACTCAGTTTCATAGCTGCCATTTTTCTTGATGAAAAACACAAAAAATGTAAGGAACTCTTATCTGACAGCAAATTAACTACACACAGAGATGGTCTGTGACTTTGCCAAAATGCCTTTGAATTTCTTTATTTTTTCTGCCAACAGTTTGTGTTCATCTCAGGTGTTCAGTGACACACAGAAACTGGTTTTCTTTTTCATCCTGGGGGAGGAGATGAAATCCCACCTGGGGATCATGACTTCTGGTTAAATATGAGTGTTTGTCCCATGTGTCCTGTGAGGAACCACATCAACCACAGATGCCATGAGATGCTATTCAGTCCTAGAGGCTGAAGTAATATTCTGCAGAACTTGCCTTCCTGCAAGGATTTTTTACATGCTGGTTTTACTCTGATCAGAGGTAGAAGCTAACACTGACTTCAAAGTAATATCACTGCAATAGTTTTCTATACACTTTTCTCTGTGAATTTGGCCAGTGTAAATTTCTACCACCCACAAAAATCAGGAGGCAAAAAAATCTGTGGTTTGATTACATGCTGTGTAGAGAAATACCAGCTTCTCTTTTGATTTGCTGCATTAATCTAATTCCCTTCAGCACTCTTCTGTCTACCTATCTACACTGGTCTACCTGCCAGTGCATTAAATATATTATTTTAAGGGCTCAGATTAAGTCAAGGTACAAAAATCAGTGTTTGTTACAAGGAATTTGGTTTTTTGCTTATGCAGGTGTTTAGCACAGTTTCATTCTTGGAGCCAAATTTGGACTGAGATGAATGTTTCCATTGGAAATGCAATTACTACATCTTAGAGGTACTGGGGTCCAAGAATTCATTTCACTCAGTCATCTGCTCTTCTAAATATAGGGTAATTGCTATTCTTTGTAAATGAAATAAGAAAAATCGAACAAATTAGATAAATTTTAGCCTCTGTAATTAGAGCGTTTCTGAAGATAAAATTGTTTTAAAGGTATAACATCGCTAACAGATTTTTTTTTAATCCTTGTTTGCATCTTGGCACAGTCACCATGCACATTTCCTATGTTTTGTACATTTATTCAAAACAGAATTAGAATAAAGCTGGTTTTATTTTTTTTTTTTTAATTACTGGCTTTGTAGTCTGTGTAGGTGTTTTTCAAAGGCATGCACCATGCTTCCTTAAAAATAATTACATTTTGCGCTAGAATATATATTATGCCCTTCCTATCCAGCTACAGTGATGTGTTACAAGCTGCCATTCTACAAATTTCCAGAATGACATTATGTTATTGCAGATCATTTTAGGAAACTTCCTGAAAAAGTAAAATGTTTGCTTGTGGCTGTTCAGCTACAAGCATAATGGAGTGCCCTGGGATGGGAAGGACTAAAAGGATTTGGCATTAAGAGAACTCTCATCTCACCTTTATCTTTAAAAGCATCCTGACAGTTTGCCTGGGCAGTAGTTGTGGGCAACATGGCTTGGGTCTGTTGGTGTCTGTGGTTTCTGCAGTACCAGGGCTGATAGCAGGTGATGTCTCCTCTCCTAACATGCTTTTGCTCCTGATAGGTTTTGGGTTGGGATGCTGTGCTAGTTCACTTCAATAGCAGAAGTTCTTCCTGGGGGGAATCAGTCACTGGAAGTGTTTGGGTGGTTTGAAGGAAGAGGTGAGGTAAAAAAGGCTGTTCATCATTCAGTAACTCTGAAAAGGTGGTTGCTGTAGAAACCTCTTCCAAGTCGAGCAAATGTTAGGGATCAGACTGTGCCCACTGCAGCACCATGGCTCAGCCTGGAGAGGCTTCCACACACAGGAAGCCTGGAGGCTGGCTGCCTTCTGGAGACACTGGGGGTTTCCTGGCCATCTGCCTGATGTGGGAAGTAGCCATCAATGTCACTGATCCCCTCTGCAGAGGCTTCTGCACAGCCATGATCACTCTGCACAAGCTCCCAGGGACCGCTCCCTCCACCTGGGCACACTCAGGACCTTTGTGCTCGTGGTTCATTTCAGCCTGCAGCACAAAGCTGGCTCTGGTAGCTCAGAAAAGTAGTGAGGGGTAAAGTGAGCTGGATGTCCTTTAGTGTGGGTAGGCAGTGAGAGCCTGGGACTATGCAGGGAGCAGAGCTACGACTTGTAGGATTTCTGGCCTGTTCTGACCTGGAACATTCACTGAGGCATTGCTAAATGCCCAGCAAATCCAAGATGTGCTTAGCTGCAGTTCTGAGCTCAATTGCAGGCTGATGGCAATGATGTCCTCAGCTATTGCAAAGTGTGAAGGTGAGCAGGAAGCAGAGAATTTGATCGTAGTGCTATAAAGGGACTGAGTCATATTTAATCAAGCTCTATTCATGTGTACAGCAGAGGTGCCTTTTAAAGTAAAGATGCTCCAGCCACAAAATGCTTTACTTAGTTCCCTTTGACAGGGACCTCTCAAATGCTTGCTGCTGTGGGTTTCAGTCTATTTAATAGATGAGGTGTAAATTCCCTGAAATGAATGGCTTATTTCCCCAGAGCTGAGGTCTGGCTGTGTGGGTTTGGTGAGTACTTCATCTGCTTGTAACATGAACTAATGTGTCCATCTCATTCCTCTGTGCTCTTTGTGAAAGATTCCTGAGACATTTCATAACAATTTACTTTGATTCAGTTAATCTCAGGTTTCTGCATGAAGGTATCCTGGATCTCTCCTGGCTGAGTAATTTGTTTCAAACTGGCTATGACTTCTGAGACTAATGTTTCATCCTTTCCATTTGAGATCAGTAGAATGGAGCTACACCATTCTTAATATAACATTGATTCTGCAGAGTGATGATTCTGATCCTTGCAGTAACCTTCATTCAGAACATGAATGTCTAGAGCAATTTTGAAGACACAATAATATCTCATTATTCAAGTATTATGAAGTCTCTCATGTTTTCAGTTGCTATAGATACTCTTAATTTGTTTTGATAAGAAGCCTACAGCTTGGCAGGACATGTTACTGATCTCACACAATCTATTCTGGACACTTATGTGGGGGTATCATTCACAAATCAATTTTCTCAGAACTTTGATTTAAATATCAGTGGCCCTTGAGGATATTTCTGGGTCACTTTTATTCTCAAGCTGTACTTCAGCACAGAGTAAACTGTTTAAAAAGTGCAGGCACCTGAATGAGCTGCATGCCAGTTGCTGTCAGATGTGGCTATCTAGTCTGTTCTGCTTGCTGACATAGTTTCTGTAAAGAATAACACCCCACTCTGTCTACCTTCAAAACAGTTTTTGAATTTCAACCACTCAGTCCTAGCAGCTCTGTAAGGAGGCGAGTATTCCTTTGATATCAAGGCACACTGCCTGGGGAGAAAAGGTAAAGTGGTGTCATTTAGCTATGTGTTAGACTGTGCACAAAGACTGTCTGCTACCTTTCTCCTCAGCAAACAGAAACTAAGACAGACATGTCAAAGGAGTTTTAGAAAGGATCTGAGTCAAGTTAATGCCACAAAGTGCTTTGTAATCCATGAGAACAATGTAATGAGGGAGTTATAAAGGAATGTAACATTTGATTTTGTAAAGATATGGAAGAGAGATTAAGAGTGCTTTAGTTACTGGTCACAGAAACCAGACACATGGGAACTGTCTATGGGTTTATGGAGTGTCCAGAGCCAGGAACTGCCTACAGAGAAGTTCCATGAGAGGTTTCCTGTCCAGTCCTCATGCATGTGCCCCTTACTGGTGTCACAGACCTAAAATATCCCAGTGGTTTCTCAGAAGTGATGGCCTAGCTTCCCAAATTATTTCCTTTCCTTTTTTCCCTTTCATTTCTTTTCTCTCTGTGTTTCAGATTATGCTTGGCCTTTGCCTAAACAGTTGTGCCCTATATGGATTTCCCTAGATGTACTCTTTTCAACTGCATCTATTATGCATCTCTGTGCCATCTCTCTTGATCGGTACGTAGCAATTCGCAATCCCATTGAGCACAGCCGCTTCAATTCCCGCACCAAGGCCATTATGAAAATTGCTGCAGTTTGGACCATATCCATAGGTAAGCAACGTGGCTCTTGACTATATCTGAATGAATAATAGTGTTACTCCAATTTTCATTTAGGATATTTTTTCTTAAGAGGATACTCAAATTAATTTTCCTGGCCTGCATGCCTGAGCAGAGTAACTGGAAATGGAAGCCTTTCCTTGCAGCTGGTTGGAGAGCAGAGTGAGCAGTCATTTTTCAGAGCACCACTCTTCTCCACTGCTGCTGTGTCCCTGTCCATCTGCCAATAACAGAAATAACAGAGAAGTGGTTCTGTAAAACTGCTGAGTAAACAAAGCAGAAAACAGTATTAGCACAGCCTGGCAAGGAGAGCCCGGCCAGCACAGAGCACATGGCTGCTCTGCAGCGAAACTCTCAAGGCCTAGTAATGTTTTAAGTGGAGCAGCACAGGGTTGAGGGCAGGTTATCAGCAAGGTATTTACTGCTCCTGCTCAGGCTGTATAGCCTGGACTGCTCTCTGCCACAGCTGGATTGCTGCTGATACTGAGCTAGCAAGTTTGAAGTCTTAGTAAATGAGGAGCACATAATAAATAACAGAAGACAAGTTTGTATTTGATAAAACACAATAAATAAAGAAGAGCAGTAAAATAAGGAATAAGACACAAAATGATGGCAAGATGACTCTGTACTACTGAGAATTATGTGAAGAAAGATTTTGTTTTAGAACTTCTTAAATGTGCTTTAAAAAAGAGATGTGCAGCAGGGGCAGAATTGTATGATGACTTCCATATGCTGTATTGCCTTTTGTGCTTGATTAAAATTCAGTCTTACATAGATTTAACATTTAATTTCTATTTTATTAAGTGGTTTTTGCTTTCAGTGCTGTACTGCGAGGAAAAGCATGTTCCAGGTATTTTAATTTCTCTTGAGTTTTTGCCTTCTTTAGAAGTGGAATATGATTCTGGATGTCTGGGTGCTACAGAAATTGATTTTGAAGAAGCTTGCCTTGGGAAAAGGCTATGGGAAAAAACAAAAAAAATTATAAATTAGGGGAAATATACTTTCTTTCCTCAAGAATATAATAAGAATATCTATTAGAAATAAATTTTTGTGTGTCACAGGCCTGCTACATTTCCCCTAGGTAATCCACAGTGAAATTGGATTGGGTTTGATCAATTAATATAAGATTTTAAAAAATTATTACTATTATTTTAAACTCTCTGTGCTGTCTATTTAACATGCGAAAGAAAGGTGCTGAATTCAGCACATAAGCAGTCACATGAGGACAAGTTCACATGGGCTTGATTTGCACAGGCAGCTCAGAATCAGCACAGAATTTGTGCTCCATGTTGCACTGGAATGCAGAGGGAGAACTGATAGACACTCCCCCAGCTGAGATGTATAAATCACATTGCAAAACCTGGGCAATAAAACTGTTCTTCTTCCATTTTTTGAGCTAACTTGTAGATTTCTGTCTGTGCGGCCTTAGATGTTGCTGGTGTATGCTTAGAAATTTTGGCTAGTGCTGAAGGTGGCTGCCTGCCACTTAGTGCCTTGAGGACCAAGTTGTGGTTTGGACTCTGGGTCCAAGGGATAAAGTAAGTACTTTATGCATGGTTGACTGATTCAGCAGACTGGTAAGAAAATCTGGTGCCTGACCAAGCAGTAAAGAGAAAGCCCTGTCTCTTCCTGGAGCTGTTTGGTGAGGCTTGGGCTCGTGATGATGGAAAATAGGCACATTGTGACTTCTGCTGCACCCCAAGGAAAAAGGTACCTGAGCCAGAACAAGTGAAGTGACTGTGCTGCTGTACAGTGCAAACACATCACCCCTACCCAGCTTCCTCAGGAGATGTTTAATCACTATGCATTTACGATAGAATATCAAACAGGTGAAATAATGAAATTTACAAGACATAGCTTGGAAAGGAAATGGAAAGGTGCTTTTCCATAAGGCTCATGGTTTTTCAGCCCTCCATAAGGCAATGGGTATTGCGGCTGTTCCCCAGCACCCCAAAGTCTTTAGGAAGAAGCTGTGAGCAGTTGCTCTGTGGGATGTCTGTGGTGCACAAAACTTTGGGGGTCTGCCCTGGGCAGCCCTTGCCTCCCCAGGCTGGAAGGGACACAGGGTGCAGCTGTACCTGGGTGCCCTCCTGTGTTAGGATCACAGCTGGGAGCATGTGCAGTGCATCTGGGCTTTATATTCAGTTTGTTCTCTTTGGTGCAGCTACTGAAAGCCTTTGCTTGCATTCTTTTTTTGGAAGATACATGCAGAATCCATACTCCCTAGGCAGCCTGTTCAAGGCACTGAAATGCTGTTGGATTTCCACCGTCTCCAGTGCATATGATGGGGCTTACCTTTTATTCAGGCTTTCTGCAGTAGGTTGTATTAAATGGAGAAAGAAAACTACTCTTGGTATGTATCTAGCTCATTTTAGCATAACTATTTGTACTTAATAAATGAATTTAGAAATGTGGCAGACATGGGAATAAACCAAGAATGAAATGAAAGAGAACTCACTCAAAGTGCATTGTTGCTGGTTTTCTGGTTCTTAACTACCTTACCTATCATTTGGAAAGGCTTGGTGAAGTCCTGTGCTAATTTCAGGAGGATGAAATAGCTTAAATGAATTCATCCTCACTTTGGTGTTAAGTATCATGAAAGAATTTGTGCATTTCTCTTTGTGATCAAGCATCAAATTCAAAGCAGCACTTAAGTACAGGCTGGTCAGCTTGCATTTCCTAAATCCTGCTTCAGATGAACAAACTTTTAAATGCATTCCATACAAAGAATCTTGAATTCTGTTTCTGAATCAGAATTCAAAATAAGAAGTTAAAGGTATGTAATTTATCTTAATTCAGTACCTTTTGCATTCCATTTTTCAGAAATGTTAATTCTGACAGCAAAATTACAAAAGAGGTTCTTTGCTCATTGAGCTACAGTTTTATCAAGGTGCACAAGCCCAAACTTATGATTAGGTTTTAAAGTACATAACAACAGAGTCCACCTGTTTCTTGACAATTTCTTACTGAATAGGTATTTTCCAAAATTCTCTTTGTTCTAGGTTAAAGTACATCACAGACAGTTGTCCTGTGCTTTAGCAAACATAACTTGAGCAAGATTTTTGTCTTCAGTTAGAGAAAAAGTGGCTGCTTTGAAGGACTGGGCTTGTAAAAAATAGTTTTATGGTAGATAGCACTGTGCCAAGACTGGAAATCAAAACACAGGCAACAGAAATAGCCTCACAACTGAAAATGAAGATCAACTTTAGGTGTAAGCCTGCTGGCAGAATTTTGGTATTGTTTCATGATTTCAGACTTTGTGTAGTTTCAAAGTTTTCACCAGTAACTTGGGGACTTGACCATCTCACCAGACTCCCTCTGTCCTGCTTTGAGGAAGCTGCCCTTGGGCCACTTTGGTAGTGACTGGAGGTCCCCATGCAGGGGTCAGCAGCAGTGGTAAGGAACCAGTCAAACCCTGGGTGCACACTGGGTCATACAGGAGAAAGTGTTAACTAGGTAATATTAAAATAAACAAAATACCCCTTTGAAAATCTGAATGAAAGCACTTCATTGATGTGGAGGTACACACACATTGCTTCTGATTCTGATACGAAAGTAACTGAAACATTTTAATTCTGAAGTTCCTTGTGACCTAAATATATGCCTGGAAAGGCTTTTCCTCTGCTTCCTGGGGTGTTCAAGGTTTGGTCGTTTGCTACAGAGTGCTGAAATTACACATGCTACCAATTTTCCAGCTCACAGTTTCACATCTTCAGAAGCAGTAAATTCAATTTAGTTCATAAGTCACCAAGGCTATCCTTTACATTTTGCTCTGTGTGTCAGTGCCATAGGCAGATGCCACAAACTCTGTGTGTGTGTGTGTGTGTGTGTGTGTGTGTGTGTGTGTGTTTGCAAACATTTTCATTCTTTCTCTGACTCACTAATGATATTGTCATTTTGATTTCAGGAAGGTAGCTGAGGTTTGCGTATACAATAAACCATTCAGGTTTAAAAATAAAATTTAAATCCCCATTTAACTTTCTCTCTTGGTTTGGAAAGACAGGTGTCTGCTAAGGAAGGCAGGAGCCTACCCTGAAATGATAAAATGTAGACCCCTTCCCACAGAATTATAAATTTGAACTTAAGGGGGGCTCTCAGGCAAAAATGTGGAAGCAGGAATAACAGTTCTTTATTAGGGAACAAAATAAATTAAAAAAAATAAACAATGCAGTGAACCAAAACAACACTGACAGAGTCAGAATACAACCGACACCCTGTTGGTCAGGGTGTTGGCCACAGTCCAATTGGGAATTTTGGCTGCAGTGCTCCTGGAGTGTCAGGTGTGGTTCTGTTGGAGCAGTGATCCTGTAGGAAAGGCGTAGTCTTCTTCTGAAGAGGCAGTGGAAGAGGCAGCTGTTCCTCTGGGAAATCCAGTGCAGAAAAAGCTGTGCTGGTGTTTTAGAAACTTGAGATTATATCCAGGTAGGAATGTTTGGCTCCTCCCTCTAGGCAGAGCATCTCACAGTGGGATGTTCTAGTTCTTATCAGTCATGCAGTGACATTCAGTGGCCCATTATCAGCAGATGTCTCTCCTGAGAGAGGATTGGTTGTGGAAGAGATAAGGAAAGCCCGCTTAACAGAAGACAGCTGCCATACAGATGGCAAATGAATACATCTTGCTTCTCAATCTGGGACACTTTCATAGTGCTTCATTGTTTTATTGAGGAGGTGTATTTATAGAAATATGAAAGAGTATGAAAAGTATAAATGTGTGCTGTGAGGATCAGTAAATACTCATCTCAGACTATGTGAACTTATATCTAACAGCTTTTTGTTTCTGCCGTGGTATTTGGCTCTCTCAGGGGCTGAGCAGCCTCATGCTTGCAAGCTGTTCTAATGGTGTCCTTCAAGAGCCTTCAGGTACCAGCTAAGCCTTCCCCTCTTACACTGGAGACAATCCTCAGCCTGAGAAACATGCCTGGAGTGGCACCAGTGATCCAAAAGGAACTGTGGTTGCCTAGGGCAGGGGAATGTGCTGAGGGTATGCTGTGCAT